GCTCGGTTCGTGCGCGGCAGCCGCCCCGCGACTACTCTTCGCCGCTGATTTCGAGTCGTTTTCACTCTCAGCGCCGCTTGGCTCTGCGGAACCGTTTCCCCAAGCCGTTGGCGTGCTCTTATTTATGCCTCTAAATTGTAATTAGAACTGGGTGCAAGTGCGATGTGGAAGATAAGCTGCTGGGGGCTTCCTTCTCTTTACCGAGGTGTCCTCGTCAGGTCACCTTGCAGGGTATTTTCCCAAGCCAACGCGCTCATCCCTCTCGGAGTTACATGGTGCCATTTACCTGCCGGTGGAACCGACTCTCCTAGCCGAACCGCAGAAACCTCTGAAGTGCAAACCCAAATTAAGCGGCGGTTGCGCTAGTATAAATGCTGCTTTTACTCAGTGAATTTACATCAGAAGAGTGTGAGAGATGGGCTTTTCTCAAACTGTACTTAAACCAAGTGCTCCACATCAGGAGTTTGTAATTCCAGAAGTATTTAAGAACTCCTGTCCTTTTAAGATACACTGCGAAGGAGGGAAACTTAGCTGGGGGGAGAAAATTCTCCCCCTGAAAGCGCTTCCTCTTCCAGGAGTCGATGAGACGGCCAGGCACGGGGCTGTGCCGCCCGCGGCGGACCTGCGGCGCAGCGCTTCCCCAGCGCTCACAAAGCTCTCCCCCCCGCGGGCGCGGCGTGGGGAGGGCGCCCCACGGCGAGCAGCCCCCGCTGGGGCAAGAGGGGAAGGCTCCGTGCATTTGTCCCTGAAGTGCAAAATTCTGGTGGCAGCTGTTTGGGGCGAAGAGAGTGCATCTCCTCTGACCTGCGCCGCTGCCCTCTGACCCGCTATGAATCCCTAAAAGCAAGGCTCCCCGGGGGCCATGGCACACGAGTCCCCATTGTTCCTGAAGCTGGCACGGTCCCGCCGTGCGCGCCCGGCCGCGCACGGGGGTTTCTTAAGCCACTAGGCTGGAACCGAATAAGCATCTGGGTTGGATCCGACCGGACTCCCTTTAACGCGTTACAGGGACAGACTGGGCTTTATCGCTAGAAGCGAGGGACTTCGGTTATTAGGAAACACTTTCCCCTTATGAATACATCGGCCAAGGTTAGATCAAGTGGGAATTCCACCCCCTCCCCTTCCGTCCCTGCCCCAGGTTTAAGAATAAATGCAGAAACGGTCAGAGTGGCATTGCCAAAAATTATCTTAGTACAATGAGAGGGCTTTTATTCGAGGAAATGTACCCATGCCTATTGCGAAATGGTCAAAAAAAAATCACCATAATACGCCTTACCATCACCTGTACATTTACATCGTACGATCTTGTTTTCTCACTTTTGTTTGTTTGAATATCTTACCCTGTTTGGTTGGATTGGGTTTTTTTAGATTGAGAAATTGCATCTCAGTGATGCTAGATCATACCTTGAAAGGTTGGCCTCCACTCTACAACGCCATCAAACTGCTGTTGCTTTTCTTTAACGTTAAAATAACGCCAGCCTCGCCTTTTGCTAACCTGGCGAAATCACTTACTGCATATTTATCAACTGGGGGAGGTGGGTTAGCATGGTAAATTTCCTTGAACAAAGATTGTGTGAGATGTATTAGTTCATCTGATACCATGTCTGTCACTTACGTAGACAGAATAATTCGGAGTCCCGGCTTTGCCCTCAATCGTGCCTGAATTAAGGATGCATTTTTATGAAAGTTTTATGGGAATATTTTAATTCGCGATTTTTTTTTTTCCGAGAGAACTGTACAAAACTCCATGAAAATAATCTAGCATTTAATAGAAAGGTGGCTTTTTGAAATGCAGCTGAACGTGGATGGAAGGAGTTAGGATTTATTCTGAAATGGAAATTATATTTCTCTCCCGATTTAAAAAAAAAAAAAATAAAGCAGGTTAAAGAGAGGAGCTGCACATAATGAGTCAAGGAAATCCTTGCGCTGTCCCTTTAACTACCGAACATCTGATTCCCTCATCTGGCAGATGGTCTCTGAGCACAGATTTGCATTCATTGTCTTGAAATCTGTTTTCGCGTTGGTGTTATATAGATTTCAGAGGCAGATCTATACACAGATCAGAATACAAAAGGGCCGGGAGGAAAGTATCACCAAGGCAGAATGGTTTTAAAAAAAAAAAAAAAAATGCAGACGCAGGTATCGTCCTGGTTCACAGCGGGCTGGGCTGGGGAGAGCTCCGACTTCCTTCAACGGGAAATTTTGCCTACATAGGATGTAATAAAAAGTTTTAAGGCTAGACCTGACAGCCCGCGTGTAGTGAGAACTTCGGGGTCTTCTGGGTGCGTTGGAGTCTCTCTCACTCGCTCTTGCTCGTGCAGGCAGCCTCTGCACACAAAGCCCCCGCAGGCATTGCGACCGCGACCCACTTCGTTCCTTCTGAGCGCTTTTTTTTAAATACCGCGCCTGAAAGCAAACCAGCCAACTACCTGTGCGATTGCTTTGTTATGACGGTGTGGGACAGACTTACAGAGATTGCGGCTTTTAGCACAGTTTAATTGTTATGTGGCAGGACCGTTTGGTGTGGGGCTGACAGGCTATGACGTTAAATTAAAAGCTAGCCTGCCCGGGCTCCCGCTGGAGCGGGGTTAGCGCGGTGCCGGGGCCGGACGCCGGTCCGTGCCTTCTCCCCGCCAGCAGTCGGCTAACCGCGGCTTCGCCGCCCCCGCCCCGCGGGTGGTGGTTTGGAGCCGGGAGCTGAGGCAAACGCACAGGGGCTGCAGGGTTGCCCGCAGCCCTCCAATCGGGTGAGGCTATGCAAATAGAACCCCTTATTTGGGAGCAGGCGCCTCCCCCTTCCCGGTATGTTTCCTCCCGTTGCTGTAACCCATTCATGGTGACCAGTTTGGGAAGGATCGTCTCTTCCCGGGCGTAGTGTGTAATCAGACTCTCTTTAGCTCCATTTCTTCCTTTCTTTTACAATTTATCCCGCTTCTTTTTTTTTTTTTTTTTTTCCTCCCCTGGATTAGGCAGCAATCAATCCTTCTCCCTGTGTCTGTTGAGAAACAGGTGATCCTTGTTAACAGCGATCAGTTTCTGGATGCCGTTTCCTCTCCTGCGTTTGAAGGATGATGATACCAGGCAAGACTGAATCAGCGTAACTTTTACTTTGCAAGAGGAAAAACTTTTTTCCCTATTTGAAGGCATTAAAAACACGTAGCGTTTAAAAGCAGAAGTTGGTTTTAAAGCTGAACTTCTCCACTTTCCTGGGATTTGTGTGTGTCAATTTCAAAGGCTGCGTCTTTTTTTTTTTTTTTCTTCTTTTCTCCTCCCTTATCCCCCAAAAGGAAACTGTTGCTAGTTGGAATAGACTTTTTAAATGTTTGGGATTCAAGATACTTTAGGAAGAGGACCAATTCTGAAAGATAAATCTCTAGGTTCTGAAATGGATTCCGTCAGGTCCTGGGTCAGAAACGTTGGGGTTGTGGATGCAAACGTAGCAGCACAAAGGTAACCGTGACTATTTCTCCCCCACTCTTCCCCCGCTTTTTTTTTTTTTTTTTAAAGCAAGCCTTTTCTTTACTCCCTGTTGTTGTTCGCATTTGATACTAAATTTATTTTCTCCCTTTCTGTCCCCCTCCCTCCTCCCGGTCTCCTCTAGTCAGTGAAAATTCAAGGTAGTACAGCTAGAGTTAGGGAGAAGGGCTCCAAAATCGGAGAGCATCAAGAGTCCTAAAATCCAGTGCGGGGATCAGATGACAGAGAGTTTGGATCATTCTTTCTTTTTCTGCAAGGGAGGTGGGGGGGTGGACGGGGGGTGGACTGGTCGTACCTAGCGATACAAACTACTCCTTCCCGCTTTCTGGGCCAGACAACCGAATAGGAGTGGACCAAGTTAGAATTAACTTAAATGTAGATCTTCCCCCCCCCCCCTATTCAAGGCTGTTAGCTGACTAAAACAAGCAAGCAGCGAGCAAAGCGTGGTTTCGAGTAGGAAGGGGAGTTTGCAGGAAGGGAAGACGTGCCGGCGGGGGGGGGGTGGGGCCG